AATTTCAACAGTCCCACGTAACACAAAAGTTTTGGCAAAATAGGCCCGTATTTCAGCTAGAAGCGGTTTACCATGCGAAAATTTACCAATTAGCATAATATTTTCAATTTTATTCATTTGTTGGATTTCATTATCTTCAAATGTAATGCATGGTTCCCCACGATGCATTTCAACAACTTTTTCAGAAATAATGGGCACGGGGATTGGACTCGAAATTGACACATTATGACCGCCCGGGTTTGAAGCTGTAAATAATTGAGCAAAGGAACGTGATTGCATACCTGGAACTTGTGCATTTAAGCGCGAATGAGGTTGATTTAACCTCTGACCACCTTGAGCCGCACGTGAATTATGGCCGTGACCTGAATGGTTAGTAGGAATATGCAAGTTGCCATTGTTCGCCCCAACCGTAGAAACATTATTAGTATTTGCTATGGGGTTCGAATTAGGAGGGGGGGCGAGTACCTTGCAAATTTGAATCAATAGACAAAATATTCCTAGTAGCATTATTTAAAGCATCAGGGGCAGAACTGCTAGCTACAGTCTGCATAGGTGTCACCCTATTATATAATTCCACAGTGCTATTTGTGTTAGGAGCATTGTTACTTTCTACTAAATTCTCAATACTAAGTGCATTTCCCGTAGCATTGCCATCCAAAGTGGCCAAGCTAATATTAGATGGATTATTTGGGTGTACTGCCACTAGCGTGGCATTATCACCCACATTAGATGGAATGGCAGCATAGGTTATTGTACCATCACTGCCCACCATTGTAGAAGTAGGGAAAGTAATATCTGTGGGATTATTTAAAGAATTTGAAGCATGCAAAAATGGCAAAGTAACATGACTAACAGCAAACTCATTAAAAGTGGTAGTGGCAGGCAAGTTAGTACCACTACCCAACAAATTCAAAGCATCATTATGTCTGCCAATAGCAACATTATCAAAAGTAGGTAAATTATTCACTAAGGCATCATTATTTAAAGGATTAGCATTATGTGATGCAACCAAGCCATTCAAAACATGCGGATTAAATAAATCAGTACCCATAGATGCAGCTAGAGCAATACCTGACTCCACTCCAGTTTGTGGTCTCAAGCTTATGTTCGAATTTGCATATCCTACCGTGACCACACCATCACCAATTTGTGGGGCGTGAACAGGCAGTCGCATTCCAGAGCTAGTTGATGAGAACACAAAGGGAGAGGGGGTGACCGGTGCTGCAACCTCCAGCGCCGGTTGAGTTCTGGCGTGTGCGATCAACGCCGGATGGGAGAGAACCACCGGAGCTTGAGTCTGAGGGCCCTGCGTGTCGCCTTCGACTGGTTGATGCACGACCGATATTGCAAAGGGCGGTACTAAGACAGCCATGGTCTCCGAACGGGTTGCTTGAATATGAGAAGCGACCTGCCGATTAGGATTCGTATTGAAAACCGTAGGGGAGTGTTGCGATCTACCATGATGGATTTGCGTCCTCTGTGTCGACACAGAGTCGCGATTGAGAAGGCCGCCTGTGGATGGACGATCGCACTCCGGCTGCGACATCGCATCCGGACCTGTCGCAATACGTGTAATCGCCGAGACTGGGACCGCGAAGCCCGCGCGACGCAGATCGTCAAGGCATCGTCGAAGAAAATCTTCCGCGCTAATCATCTGTTCGACGGTCTCTGGAGGCTCCGGAGGTGGGTCACCCACCTCCATGCACGTCTCGAAGAAGAAGCTGTCACCAATGGACTATGTTGTCACCGGAATTAAGGTGGCAATCTCTGCAAATTCGGCCGTAGGAAATTTACGATGGCAATCGCGAATTTTCTCGCAATCGCCAGAGCTCAGGAGAGAGAAAGCTGCTTGGTGGGGATTAGGGTTTAGGGTTTAGGGTTTAGGGTTTTTTTTTTTTAAAGCAAAGATAACTTTATTGATAAGCAAAGGCATAAAGCCATTACAAGGTCCAGGAGAGTTAGGCCCTACATGGCCTAAACCCCCAAAAAACAACAAGTAAATAAAAATTACAAACGAAGGCCCCAGGGTTTTTTTTTTTTTTTTTTTAAAATAAAGTCATACTTTATTAAAAGAAAAAGAGAGGCCGAAGCCAAAACAACGTTCGGAAGGACTTAGACCCCACATGGCCTAAATCCTACTAACTAACCTAAACTAAAAAGAGTAAATAAAGATTACAGACGAAGGCCCCCGGGGCTATGCGCGGCCCCAAGTCCCATGCTAGCATAACACTAACACTAGACCAAACACTAGGCTAAGTAATAATAAATAATAAAAGAATGTTAAAGTAGTATGTAGTATGTAGATTGCACGCCTGCTCGATGAATGAGAATCAAGTATAGTATGTCAGCATCACAGCCCATCATATACATGTAGATGGGTGACAAGGGGAAAAGCCACCTTGCGTGTCATGCGCCATAGCACTTCCCCGCCAGCTGCACCATAGCGTCCCAGCACTATAATGCAATCTAACCGGGCTGCAACCGCAACTGCAACATCTCCTGGGGTGCTATTGACTGCCCTGTTACAAAGAAATAATACACACCTCCCCATCTAAATATAAAGGCAAATATCGGCACAGAGGCCTAAGTCCAGAAATAACATAAGTAGCACAAGACAGCTCACAGGCCAATATAACAGAGCAGCCAGTAGCATCATCCCCGATCAGCACCAGCAACGAACCAGAACCAACCCTAACGGGATTAGCTACTATGGGCCAGCAGCAAGCATGGACTACCGCCAACGGATTTGAAAAACCCCTACCCGGCCACCGTTCAGCCCGGGCCAGGATGCAATTTCTTACCGCTTGCACCAACGTTGAGGCGTGGTCTATCTTAAAAGATGCCTGCAAAGGCGGAACCAAAGAAGCCTATAGACCAGTCAATGCCTCGGAGGCCAAAGAAACAACAACCTGCAAAGATAGAAAACAAGATAGAACAAACAAGCATCCTGTTCCCTTGACCCCAACTATTTCAATCTCCTCATAAGGTGAGTGTATAGGCATTAACAGGCTGACGCGAACAAACAGCAAACCCCCCAAATTAAGACCCGTCCCCCCCGGAGTCCAGAAGGAACTCGGCTACTATTGGCCAGCAGCAAGCCTGACCAGGTCAACGGATTTGATTAGTCCTGCCTGGTGCACCGTTCAGCCCAGACTAGGGTGCCATGTTGTACCGCCAACACCTTACGTTGAGGCTCAGTCCCGACCAGCAGAACCTCATCGCCTCCAAGTCTCGTCCCTCCCGGGGCCCGGAAGGGACTCGGCTACTATTGGCCAGCAGCAAGCCTGACCAGGTCAACGGATTTGATTAGTCCTGCATGGTGCACCGTTCAGCCCAGACTAGGGTGCCATGTTGTACCGCCAACACCTTACGTTGAGACTCGGTCCCGACAAGCAAGACTTCATAGCCTCCAAGAACACCTCACACACTCTCTGTTTTTAGCTCACCTCAACTCTTTCTTTTCCTTTCTGTATTCCGTCATTTTACCACTCTTTCTTTCTCTCATCTTCTTTTCCCCTCATTTCTTTCATTCCTCATTTCTCTTTTTTCTCTTTTTTCTTTTTCATTTCTTTCTTTTTTTTCTAATAAAATTTTCTTTTCTCTTTTTTCATTACAAAAAGTGATACAATTCATCAAAGCAAACCGTAGCTCAAGGCGGGTCGTAATCATCAAAAACCACCGATGGGATATCATCATGAAGCAGCAACGCACGCACCCTCGGTGGTAAATCTGACAAATTACGGAAAATAAACTCCCCATCCTTGTCCCCAACCCAATCTGCCAATGCAGCCACCGGGAGATTACCCTGCGGCAAACACTGATGAACAGAAACAGATGCACAGGAACAAAGAAACCGGAGTCGTGACACATCAGAGTCAAAGACCCATGGACTAGGTGTAGTGGGGTCTACATAACCCTTAAGCTCGGGCAAAACAGACTCTAGGACCAGGGATCTAAAACCCTCGGCCAAACACCATTCAAGAGAGCGGTGCATAACCTGGAAAAAGTCCCGAAACCCGTCGTCTACCGAAATGGCTAGGCCGTAGCAGAGACCCCCCCCCCCCCCGATTACGTACCAAGGCAGCAGACCCACCCAACGCCTCAGAATATGAAAAATTGAGCTTTATAGAACCAGGGTTTAGGGTTTAGGGTTTAGGGATTTTTTTTTTAAGTAAAGCATACTTTATTAATAACAAAAGAAAGGCCGAAGCCAATACAACGTCCAAGGGATTAGGCCACACATGACCAAAATCCCACTATTTAATGTTAAGCTAGAAAAATAAAACGAGATTACATAACGAAGGCCCCCGGGGCTATAACATACATGCCCCAAGTCCCATGCTAGATGACTAACACTAGACCAAAGACTACAATGAAAACGAAAATCACAAAATACTACTAAGTAAATGCGCAGCTGCTCGAAAAAATATGAATGTAAATATAACCCAGCTGCATCACGGTCCACCATATAAGCGTGGAGATAAGTGACAAGGGGAACAGCCACTTGCCTGTCACGAACCATAGCGCCTCCCTGCCAACTGCACATAGCATCACGGCACTACAATGCAGTCCAACCGGGCTGCAACCACAAACGCAACATCTCCTAGGGTGCAATTGACTGCCCTGTTAAAAGCAATAATACACACCAATCCAGCAAAATATGGTAAAGGCCTAACATCACTCAGAAATGCCGGCACACAGGCCTCGGTCAAAACAATACATAAATAGTACAAGGCAATCACAGGCCAACAGATAAAGCAACATAGAACAAGGCAGCCAATAGCATCGAACCCCGATCAGCACCAGCACGAACCAGAACCAAACCTAACGGGATTAGCTACTATGGGCCAGCAGCAAGCCTGAACTACCGCCAACGGATTTGAAAAACACCTACCCGGCCACCGTTCAGCCCGGGCCAGGATGCAATTTCTTACCGCTTGCACTAACGTTGAGGCCTGGTCTATCTCAAAGAATGCCTACAAAGGCGGAACCAAAAAAACCTATAGACCAGTATATGCCTCGGAGGCCAAAGAAACAAACCTGCAAAATAGAAAACAAGATAGAACAAGCAAGCATCATGTTTCCTCGACCCCAGCTATTTCCATCTTTCCCATCAGGTGAGTGTATAGGTATTAACAGGCTGACGTGAACAAACAGCAACCCCCCAAATAGGACCCGTCCCCCCCGGAGTCCAGAAGGAACTCGGCTACTATTGGCCAGCAGCAAGCCTGACCAGGTCAACGGATTTGATTAGTCTTGTCTGGTGCACCGTTCAGCCCAGACTAGGGTGCCATGTTGTACCGCCAACACCTTACGTTGAGACTCAGTCCCGACCAGCAGAACTTCATAGCCTCCAAGTCCCATCCCCCCTGGAGCCCGGAGGGAACTCGGCTACTATTGGCCAGCAGCAAGCCTGACTAGGTCAACGGATTTGATTAGTCCTGCCCGGTGCACCGTTCAGCCCGGACTAGGGTGCCATGTTATACCGCCAACACCTTACGTTGAGACTCAGTCCCGACCAGCGGAACCTCATAGCCTCCAGGAACACCTCACACACTCTCTGTTTTTAGCTCAACTCCGCTCTTTCTTTTCCTACCAATCCCTCATTTTACCACTCAAATTCTTTCCATTCTCTCAAATTCTTTTCCACTCATATCTTTTCATTCCCTCTTTTTCTTTTATCTCTTTTTTCAATCTCTTTTTTCTCTTTTTTCCATTTTTTCATTTTCTTCTTTTTTCATTTTTCAAAACTTTTTTCAAAACATCAAAGAAAGACACAAGCAGGCCAGAATCACGGGGGATCATCTATCTCAAAAAACACATAGGGTATGTCATCGTGTATCAACAGAGACCGCACCCTAGGCGGCAGATCATTAAGGTCCCGAAAATGGCCTCCCCCGGCTTGTCAACCACCCAATCAGCTAATGTCCGTACAGGAAGATTGGCCCTAGACGGGCACAAGACAGCAGTAACTATCCCACAGGAACACAGGAATCGAAGCCTGGACACCACGTCGTCCAGAAACCACGGCGGGCGAAAAGAAAGATCAACATAACTACACAGCTCCGCCCACGTGGACTCCATTACAATCTCTGTATAACCCCCGGCCAGGCACCACTCCAGACACGAGAACAGGACCCGGAACATCCCCCGAGCATGCTCCCCATGTCCAGACCAGGCAATCCCATAGCAAAAACCACCCGCCTGATTGCGCACCACGGCCGCAGCCCCCCCCCCCCCTACTGCCGCTGAAAGAGATAGATTAATCTTTAATGCCCCAGCAGCGGGAGGTGACCACCTGACCGTCCTAACAACCCTCCTCGGCACATGTGCCTCCAAGTATGCCACAATCGTCCTCCAATTAGAGGGTAGGATATGCTGCATAGGCCACCGCCTAAACAGACATTCCGCCACCCCCTTTGCGACCCCATGCATCACTCGCACAATGCTAGGGGTGTCCCGTCCATGCATACACCCATTACGGTGTTTCCACAGCTCCCACAAAATCAAATACGGCAACCTGCTAACAGCAAAGGAAAATAAAGGGTTACGCGCCCCTCCCCGGCCCCAACTCGCAATCAATGTCCCAAGACTCCGATGTCGCGACTGGAGGCCAAGGGACGCCAAAACATATCTCCAAACAGATCCTGCCGTTTCCCCGGAATAAAAAATATGATCAATAGACTTAGGAACCGGGGCTGGACAACACCAACACCTCGAAACAATCACATGACCGAAACGAGACAAGATGTCATCTGTGGGAAGCCGCCCTCGGAACACTCTCCAAGCCAGGAAGGACACCTTAAACGGAAGGTGTTTGCGCCAACATTTAGCTAAGAGAGGATCCGGTGCAGTGGGCATAGCAGGCCTAAGGAAGGCCTTAGCAGAGGAGTAAGAAAACATACCATCAGAAGCCACGGTCCAAAGTGGGATGTCACGCGGTCCCTGCCCCATTCGGGACAAGTCCGCATTAACCCCCGCATAAGCCAAGTCATCATGGCCAGTCAAATCAAGCTCACCGTCCCGCACATAATCCAGAAGCAACTCCCGGGAGTAGGAAACCCCCCGAGATGGATACAGTCTGCCGAGTGGGCCCAGACCCGACCAGTTGTCCCACCAGAAATTAACCCAGCCTCGGAACAACCGCCAAGTCAAGACCCCCTCAACCTCATCACGAACCATCAACATCCGCTTCCAGGTGTGCGAATCAGTAGTCTGAACCAACTTAGCAACCGGGTGCACCCGGCTGCAATACTTGGCCCTCATAAAATCTGACCAAAGTGTATGCTCCGTGCGGAAATTCCACCACAATTTCGCGCTGGCTGCTCTTACCATGATATCCAAGTCCAGGAAACCAACTCCTCCTTTTTGGGACGGGACAGAGTTTTCCACGAACTCCAATGATACCGGGCACCCCCCGATTCTTTCCAACAGAAACTCGCGTAGCATCTTTCCAAGTCCCTGATTACCTGCTTAGGGGGTGCGCAGGCCGAGAAAAGGTGCAAAGGAATGGCCTGTAGAACTAAGGATATCAAGATCGCCTTCCTACCCTTCGAAAGCACCCGCCGTTGCCAACTTAAACATTTAGCCTTAACTTTATCCACAACGGAGGCGAAATAGATACATTTCTTGCGGCCCAGATATACAGGGCAACCCAGATAGGTAAATGGAAACTCTTTATGCACACAACCTGTTGCCCTGCGAATGCTGTCAATCTCACAAGCCGGAGTACAAGGGTGCACATAAAATGCACTCTTCTGAAAGCTCACCAACTGTCCCGAAATCTCCTCGTACTCCTTCAATGCCTTAATTACTTCCTGAATCGCACCCAACCTGGCTGTACTAAAAATAATCACGTCATCCGCATAAGCCAGGTGATGTATATGAGGTGTCCCCGGCGGCTGTGTAAACCGGGGCACAGCGGTGCCATCATAAACCCGAGCAAGGTAAACAGATAAAACTTCGGCTGCAATCACAAACAAAGTCAGGGACAAAGGATCCCCTTGCTTGAGGCCCCGCGTAGATGTGAAAAAACCTTCCTTTACCCCATTTACAATCACGGAGTACCAAACATTCGACACAGCCCGGAACACCATATCTATCCAAATCTCACTGAAACCCAGGCGGCGCATCACCGAAGTCAAGAAAAACCACGAAACCCGATCATATGCCTTAGCCATATCCAGTTTCAGCACAATGTCCAGGTTCTGCAAACTCAAAGCATGGCACATCTCAGAAGCGAGCGGAACATTGTCCGTGATGGACCGACCAGCTACAAACCCACTCTGCTGCGGGGACAACACTCGGGGCAAAACCGTAGCCATCCGAACCACCATGAGCTTCGTAACCAACTTGCTACTGAAATTGCACAAACTGATAGGTCTATAATCTGCAAAAGTCTCCAGGCTCGGCTTCTTTGGCAAAAGGACGATGGATGTGTGCGTGATAGCCCTGGTAAAGTCCTGCCCTGCAAAGTAGCTCCGAACCATACTAACAACATCATCCTGAATAATATCCCAGCAAGCCTTATAAAAGGCCCCCGAGAAACCATCCGGCCCTGCCGCACTCGAAGAGTTCATCTGCATAACCACCGCTTTTATCTCACCCACTTCTGGCACTACTGTCAACTGTTCATTATCCTCGTCAGTAACCAACCGCGGGACACAATCCAATCTGTCCAAATCAAACCCTCCAATTTCGGCAGTAAACATATGCTCAAAGAAAGAAACTGCTTGATCAGCAATTCCCTGCCTGTCCTCCAGCCAAACCCCCTCCCCATTTTTCACCCTGTGTATGTATAGCTTACGCCTGCGTTCCTTAACAATAGAGTGAAAGAATCGGGAGTTCCTATCCCCATCCTGAACCTCGGTGACACGCGCCTTTTGCTGCCAATATTCCTCCTCAATTGCAATCTGTTTCTGCAGCAAAGCAACACCCTTTTTATATTCAGTTAAAGCATTTTCATCATCCGGGTGTTGCTGCAAGGCAGCCTCAAGGGTCGGAACACTATCCTCATACTCCCGGAGCTTTACAAAAATGTCCCCAAATTCAGTCTTGCTCCACCTGCTCAGAACCTTACTCAATCTATTCAACTTGGTGGCCATTACAAACATAGGGCCCCCCTCCACAGGGACCTCCCAGCTATCACGCACCACCCTCAAAAAGCCCTCGTGCTTGATCCACACATTTAAGAACACAAAGTGCTTCGGTATTACCTGCGTACTCAATAAATCACAGGATATCAGCAATGGACTGTGGTCAGACGTGGACTTTGACAAGTGCCGTACAGACGTTTTGAAAACCGATTCCCATACCGAAGTAAAGAGAAACCGATCCAAACGCATCCATATAGCCGCCTCCCTACGCCGCCCATTCCACCAAGTGAAACAAGAGCCGTAGTAGGTTGCGTCAATCAAGTCACACGCACTGACACACTCCTGAAAGTCAGTAGTCTTCCGATGTGAATACAGGAGCCCACCTTTTTTCTCGTCCACACTTAACAAGCAATTAAAATCACCTGCGACTGACCAAGGAACCCCTCCAGGAATCAAAGAGAATACATGTTTCAACTCAGCCCACAACGGGTCCCGGAGGCGCTCCTTGGTTTTGGCATAAACAAATGAGAGCCAAAAAGGCATGAGCACGGTAGAATGTACACATGAAATCGTAACACACTGCTCAGTTTGACTCTCAAATGTTACTGCAAAATCATTATTCCAGAAAAGCCAAATTTTATTACTAGCAGAAGAAAAAACATTATCAAAATTAAAGCGAATTCTAAAAAACTCAAGCCAATCAGGCGAACTGAAAGGCTCGAGCAGACATAAGATAAAAGGAGAATGCATTCTCAACAAGACACGGATCCTGCGAGAAGAACCCCGAGAGGACACCCCCCTCACATTCCAGACGAGTAGTTTCATATAGAAGATAAAACTAGTTTCATATAGAAGATAAAACACCCAGCCCTTCAGGGGGGTCCCCCTCTTGCCTCATAAAGCTATACCGACGTCTCACTGAGCCAATCCCTTCCCAGAGGTCTAGATTCTCATATTCTGTGTCAGAACCCGAGGCCCATTCCTCCGGTTCATGATCAGCCACCGGGACGTCAGTATCTGACCACGCCCTTTCCCTCCCCCTCCTAGACCCCCACGGGGCCTCCGGGGCAAAATCGGGCGTTTGAGCCGCCAACCAAAGAGTATCACTCGGAGGTGTGCATGGCGGCGTCCCCAGCTCGAGGGGACCGTAAAAAATAGGATTCGAAACAGGAGAAGGAGTAAAAGAGAAAGATACCTGCTGCGGGCTCTGAATATCCGCCCGCTCTCCCGTATAGAGGCTCGCATCCTCGTTACCCTCTGGAATAGTAGACAAGCGGCCAGATGAAAGACCACTCCCCATTCCATACGGTGTCATACAAACAGATTTCCCGGCCTCAACCGGGGTGGATGGCACCTGGCCATTCTCTGAAGCCTCCACAATAACCTCCTCAGAGGCAAGGCTGTCATCCTGTAGCGCAGCAAACCCATTACTAACCGGAACCGGGGCACTAGCCCGGCTAGTAGATTGGGCCTGCCACACTAGATTACCCGTACCTGCACTTGGTCCCCGACTATTATCAACAACCGGGGACTTGCCTTTAACCTGTCTTTCTTTATTACTTTGCTTTTTTCTTTGATTAGCAGTCATGTCCCGATGATCCAACACGGTAGCTGTGCCCCGGCCCTGGCCACCCGATTTCGGGTCAGCCTGATGGGCCTCCACCGTGGGACAAGGACCAACATCAACCACTGATGCCGGCACTTGCGGAGCCGTAGTGCGCGGGGCGCGGGCTCCACCACCAGAAACACGACAACTATTCGCCAAGTGGCCCTGTTTCCTGCAATTCAAACAGTACGGGGGGACACGCTCATACTCAATCATTTGCCAAAACCCCACGGGCTCCCAGTCCGGGCGTGCAGTCCCTAACCGAATAAACACCTTACGGCATAGGGGTTTCAGCAAATCAATCTCAACTTTAACTCTAGCCACATTTGGCCGAGTAAACTTAGCCGTAGGCGTGTCCACCTGTAGCAACTTGCCAATAGGTTTAACAATCTGTTTGAGACAAGGTTCTGAGAAGCAATTGGCTTTAAGGTTAGGCAAAAGCACCCACACCGGAGCCAATGACGTCTCATACCTTGTGTCAAAGTCCATTGTCCACCTAAAGAGCCGCATCGGTCAATTTCCGTTAAAGAGAATTTGACCCTTAACCAACGTGTTAATGCAATCTTCCGGATTAGAGAAAGCAAGAGACACGTGGCGCGGGTCCACTAAGCCAATAGTCACAGTTCCTTTCAACTTTAAACGCTTGGCAAAGTGTTCCCTTATAACGGAAAGAACGGGCCTGCCATAAGAGAATTTTCCAATAAGCAAGGTTTCCCCTATTTTATTCATTTGTTGCACCTCTTTATCCTCAAAGGTTATGCAGGCCTCCCCTTTATAAATTTCAACCATTTTCTCTTAAATACAGAGTCCCAGGTTAAGGCCTACATTAACCTTTTGAGCTGGCAGACCCGTAGAAGCAAAAAGACTAGCAACGGAAGGAGGTGTACTTGAGCTCATGGCCAATGCCGAGCTACTTACCTGGGCCGTATTATCCAAGCATGATGCCACCTTTGGGGTGGCATTCTTAGCGTGCAAAGCAGCAAGCCGTGCCCAAGCATTGGACACGGCAGAACCCGAGGCATGCTCACCTTTTCCATTGGTGGCATGTCTCGGGTTTAGGGTGTTATTAGGGGTGAGCAATAGATTTTGCTTGCCCCTAATAACACCCTCTTGTGGGGTATGCAAAGATGACATGGGCTCACTAGTTTGTGTAGCTTCCAAACCACCCACACCAATACTATCCCCTAAGCTACTAGGTGTCGACAACATGTCCCCAAAACGGCCAAACAATATTGAAGTGTTACCTCCCATGTCATGGCTTTTAGTTATCATGTTACCAACACTTAGGCTTGTATTTATGCTCGAAAATTGCCCAGCCCCAACCACTCCAAATTACCCAAACCCGAAGCTCTAGGTGTAGAGTGATTAGTGGACGGAGCAATTCCCAAACTTTGCAAGATTGAAGAAGAGACACATGGGGATTTAGCTACAAAACCCTCATCTTTGTATTGCATTTCTTGCCCTCTAAGTGCAGTAGATGTACTCGAAAAACCACCATCATGGGTCCTATGACCAGCCCCCCCACCACGGAGTAGCCGATTAGGATTATCACCCCCATGGGTCTTATGACCAACTTGCCCATTATGGACTTGCCGATTAGGATGGTTAAATGGTGCATCTTGTACATCAACCACACTTAGATTAAAACCAAAAGAGGAGGGAGCCAAAGAAATACCTGTTGCCGTTCGGCCCTCACAAAATTGTGATAAACCATTCACCTCCGGCACTAAGGTCTTGCTAGCATCATACTTAGCTCCGGCCTCATGAAGCTCTCGGCCAGCCCCTCCAAGTTCCATAGCAACCGAGCCTCCTTGCCAAATGGCTCAGAGTGCACAATCGTACTATAGACCATGATAGAAGTCTCGGCCTGTGTAGTGCCAAAACTGCCAAACGTGGGCAAGATTTTTGACATGGTGTCTTGGTTGAGCACATTTGTACCCAAACCAACACCACCCAAAACCACATGAGAAGATGGATCCCCCACTTCATTTAGGTGTTCGGGCACCACACCAAATTTTGATGGCATCACCTCTTTATCTACCAAAAGAGGGCAATTCCCACCAAGAACCATACAAAGCTTATGCGAAGGGCACATGGGATTAGATGAGATCATATCTAAACCAACACCACATGACCCTCCACTCGTGGCATAAGTAGCCTGGGTAGCCAATGCTAAGGTTTGAAAACCTTGCCCAGCACCCCCCCCCCCCAACATGAAGGCAGTACTGCCTCTTTACTTACGGCAATAGGCCTAAAGGCCACAGTAGATGGGGAGAATGCCAACTTAGGAAACAAATCACTCAAACACAAATGGCCATTCTTCCCATCATTCCCTAAAGCTCCGGTTTCAAGAGGTGTGGCATGTGAGACATCTTTCTCACCACACAGCCCACCTTGAGCTAAAGCCAAAGTCGAGACATTGGCATCATCCATCCCAACCATATGACCAGCCTCATCCTTTAGATTAAGCCGATTAGGGTGCTGTTGCCTATGACCAGCTTGCTCCAAATGAGCTTGCCGATTAGACACCATAGATGATGCCTGCCCAGTCTCGTTTTTTCCATCAAGATTAAGAGCCAAAGTGGGTGAAAGCTTACCTGAGATGTGTTGCTGCTGTATAGCTCGAGACACCACCTCATATGGCTTAACACGAGCCTTATGTCACGGACTTATTTTCCCCCACTAAGTCACGTGCGGCCTTAGCTATTTTTCCCCTCTAAATAGCCAAGTCAGCCTCTCTTTCGACCCTCGAAAGTATGCTACGTAATTGGTGGGATGGCTAGAAAAACAAGTTGGCAAGAATATCGCAAAAGTACTTGAGAGCTTTATTAATTCCTTCTTAGATTTCCTTCTTTTGGATCCTCCTTGGATTCCCTTGGATAGTTTACAAATGAGCCCCTAGTGGGGTATTTATACTACTCCACCTCCTCATGTGGAATCCTCTAGAATCCTCCAAAATTCCCTACACAAGTGGGAGGATTCCCTAATATTCTAGAATACTCTATACATCCCTACACAACTATGAGTATTCTATAAGGTTCTAGAATATTCTATAGCACTCCTACCTCTTCTAGTGCTATCTATACCTCCAAACCATTCTACCAACTTTGGGATGCTGCGTATAAGTGCTAGAAAATTCCGGAAATGCGTAGCAAACCCCGGAACCGCGTGGTAACGCTGCCCGCGCGTTACATCCTCCCCCACCTAATTTGGCGACGCCCTCGTCGCCTTGTATGCTTCCAAAAGCCTTGTGATTGCCATAAGTCTTCCTCCGGCTTCCCATGGTCTTATGGCGCGGCTTATCCTCTTGTGGCTTCCTCCTCTTTTTCACCCAAGTGTTGGTCCTAGTGTTGGCTTTTCCCTCCTTGGCTCCTTCCACGACTTGCAAGGTTGATAGTCGTTGTGCCCCCTCCACTTGCCTCTTGGGACCTCCGATGGTTGGGATCATACACGTGGACCCTTTCTCCAAAATACATATTGTGTTAAAAGATGGCATGGGGATGGCAGTGGTTTGACGGAAAAAGTCCATCCCAAGCACGACTTTATAATCGTCCAATGGTACCACGGAAAAGTTCACTTGGCCCCTCCAAGTGCCTAAGCGTAACTCCACACCTCGTGCTACGCCATTGAGTGGTTGGGCTCTCGCATTGGCAGCTTTGAGCCAACCTTCCCCCTTCGTCCAACGAAGACCGAGTCTTCTAGCCTCATCCTCGGTCACAAAATTGTGGGTGGCACCAGTATCCACTAAAGCTCGTGTTGGCTTCCCATTCACCAACGCTTCGACGTACATCAACCCCTTGTTCGTCGTCGTTGGCATTGTTTTGGCGTTAAGGGCAGTGAGGAGTTGCAGTGATCCCATCCTAGCTGTCTCCTCTTCCTCGTCCTCGTGGGTCTTGGCCTCATGTTGTTCCACCATAGCCGAAAGTGATCCAAGTTTCGGACAGTCCCTCATTGGATGTGGCCCCTTGCATATGTAGCACGCGAACTTTGGCACGAATGCGTTCTTCTTTTCCTCGTACTCCCTTCGTGCGTTGTTGTTGTCCGAATTCCTTGGCGGTGATCCTCGTTGATTGTCCCTTTTTGGAGTTGGTGACCTCCTTGGGGTATCCATATCTCGGTCGTGGCGCTGCTCTCCCCCACCTAT